AAAGAGTGCACTCAAAACCCACAGAAACCATATGAGCATTTTGAAACTTCACCAGTATTTCTTTCCCTTGCTTTGAAAGAAATCAATGAAACAGAGAGAAGATGAACCCTCATTGCTATGATCATCCTTCTACTTTTAGAGGAGAGATTCTCCAGGCAAAGGTTGCGTTAGATAGGAAGCAAGATAGGTTTCTTGTACATTTCTAAGAGAAAAAGATAAAAATTACTTATATCTCACCTCACTCGCTTTACTTGTCAATAAAAAAGCAATCCTGGAGTCCATATGTTTTAGCAGAACTATATACCACGCTACATACTACAGATAGAAACGTTTGTGCATTTCAGTAGTGTAAACTGTTTACTATGTCTGCATCCTGCATGTTTCACAGAGGCTTGAAAGGTACTTAAGGAAATCCTCCGAAGGACTAAATAGGGCAGTTTCATGAACGGTGTGCTAACAGAAACAATAAAGTGGCATGCCCTTGAGACTGGAGTTACTTCAGACTAGTTAAATACCGGTCCTTCACTGTCCCCATTTCCCAACCAAACTGCTCATCTACATTATTACCCATTCAGAAGGACATGCTTAATATCAAACACTCATCTGTAAAAGGTTTCATTTATTAGTTTTATTTTCAAACTGCAGACCAAAGTCTTTTATTGCAGCAATGCTGGTTGTAAAAGAATGGCAGCAGTGCATACTTTTTGGAAGACCCAAAGCCACCTGTACGTTAGAAGGATGTATCAGCCAGAAGAATACAGGACTGGCCCAGTGCTTTCTCATGGAATACTTAACAGTACAAAACTAAAATATTATATTGAATTCTAATGCCAACCCTTTATCTAACAAACAGAAATCATGTGGAAGAAATAGAGCTGAATATACACATACACACAATAACCAAAATGGTCACTCTTGATTTCACCTCCAGTGCTAGGCACAGAAGCCTGTTGCTCTTCTGACCATTTTACTCACCTTCCTCTGTGGTACGAGCAGACTTTGATTCACTGTCCATTCCTTGGAATTCATTGAAATAAGGGCGAACTTTTATTTCATAAGTGACTCCCTTTTTCAAGCTGACAAGGACAGCACTGCGCTCAGTTGGGACTTTGACCTCCAAATTCTGCCATACAGCTGGAGAAGGTAGGCCAGATGTTTGGCGATACATTACTCGGTAGCCCTGAATAAACTGGGATTGGCGGTCAACCTAGAAATGGCATTAAATAACACGTCAATAAACATATTAAAGTAACGAAACTGTATAAAAAGAAACCATTTGCCTAGAATACTTTTGTCCTGGTGAAAAAGAGAAACTTGACAGTCATTTAAGATGCTCAATTTAAAAATCAGACTGCCTTCTTGTAAGTCACTGTTGATGAATTGTCTATAAAGTACATTTTTCTCACATTACTTGTTATAGAACATTTCTTTCTATTTTACTTTCTCCAGCTCTATATATCATGACAAATACCACCTTAAATCATAAAACAAGGTCCCACCCCTGCAACAAATCCTGAAAAGAGAACTTTGGCATAATGCTTACTGCATGTAAACTTACTAAGCACATCTTGGCTACTGATGTGCTGAAATACGAGAAGTAAAGAAAAACAAATTCTTTTGAGAAAAGGACAAGTCTTTGAAGATACCCTACATGCTTTCAGTTAGTCCATTACTTGGCTCATAGCTCATCTTTTCATGAGATGCTTGGGGAAGTAAAATAAACAAAAGACAGATGCAGAGAAAACAACTTCCAAGGACATGTGCTGTTTCTTGTGTTCACAGTCTAAGCAGTCGCTTTGCATCCCGGGGTTGTGATGCTCTCAGGCCATAATATGGAGACAGAATGTTGTTTTGGGTTTATATTTTATATATTGCTAGGCAAGCACAATTCAAGATTGGACCATACATAGAAGTTTACCAATTCTAACCTATCATAGCTATAAATAGGATTTTTTTTTTTAAGGAAAAATTTAAAATGTGTTTTATCTTGGAGATGTTACATGCAAGTTTTCTCTTGGGAAATAAAAAGGCACAAACCAAAGATTTGAGCTGTTATGATGTTTGCATGAATTTTGCCTGAAAAAACTGTCAAAACAATTTGATGGATAAAACCAAACCAAACCCAGCTGCTTCTGTAGCCATCAAATATACAGCCAAAGAAAGTGCAGCACAAATAACAAGACTATACAACTAGCTGCTTGGTAAATCTCTGGGTTATAACTAAGATTCAACAAGTAGGATTTCTTTTCTGTTCTTGACAATTTGCTAGCTCCAAAATATTTCAGAATTACAGATACATTTGTTTGACTTCTCTTAAGAATAAATGAATTTAAGGCTGAAAACACAAACCAAGGTCTATTACGCTTCTCCTGTAATCTTGTTACAGTTTATTGAGGCATTCAGAGGGGACACAGATTCTTAGACATTAAAAAGCAGGGCAAGCAGGAAGAAAGCTTTATTTATGAGAGCAAAGAAGAAATGTCTTTCATCAAAACTGTCACTGTTAAAAACCTTGCAACATATGTTACAACAACATTAAGCTTGCATTTTATAAACTTCTCTACATTCACTTTAAGTGAATTTATGCAGCGAAAGAGGGATATAACTCACAATAATAGCTTGTTAATACCGAAAGAATCAAGCTGTGTTTTTAAGAAGAACATTAAGCAGCTGTTTCCAGATGAAGGGAGTCTGTAAATCAGAGTAAATTGTTTTTATCCATGTTTGACTTTCATTAACTAAATGTTTTACGGACATAAAGACTTTATGAACCTCGTGTTTACTAAAAAATTCAGCAAGAATAACACTTTCATGCACTTTGTAATACAGATTCTCAACTTAAATTACAATATAAGGCTATGATGTTTAATAATCAAACAGTGAGGTTGATTCCTGCCTAACTTCTGAGTTAGAAGCTATGCTGACAGACGTCATAACTTTGTTAGAACTTTCTATTTTCTCTTTGCTGTGCTTTTAAGCTCTACTGACTGCTGCCTAGTGGAGAACATCTGAAAATTCAGAATTGACTAGGCTAACAGTAACGTTGTGTTGCTGCAAAATGGTATGGAAACTGTTTTGTACGGCATGGTACAAACACAAATGCACCCACCAACTCACTGAGAAGAACTGGATGCCTATAGTATACCTGTAGTGTACTAATTTTGAGTCCATCACACTTTTGTATCTACTTACATATAGGTAATATACAAATAATTCATACACCTCTTTGCCTCCTACACTTCTAAGTTCCTAACCTAAAAGACTAAACAATACAAGGAATATGAAAACAGAATGCAGTAGTAAACAAGGTTGTCATGTATATGGCTGCTATAAACTAGCTTGATTTGGGGTTCACACAAGTTTCACAGAGCTTTCAATTAGAAGTTTGATTACAACAGGGCTGAATGATCTGCCCGAATTTCAGATTATTGACAGTGATTCCATTGTTCAGGGTCTGGGAGGGTACTTATGAAAGAAAATACTATGCATTTTTAATGTTTTCTATGAACATCCAGTTGCATTCAATATCAAGGAGAGGATACAAAGCTCTCTCTCACGCCCACTTAAAGCTAGTCTGAAAGAACAGGGCCTTTCACATGATCAAAATGTTGGGAAACTACTCAGAGGGCACTTCACTTGCTGAGAAAGGTGGATTTTTTGTTTTGTTTGGAGTTTTCTGATTAGTAAATATTACTCTTGGACAATTACCTGGATTAAGCAGAGATATTTGTGAGGTATAGGACAGGTATATTTCACATATACATATACGCACGTATATATGTGTGTGTACGTGTATATGTATACATACACATATACATACATACGTGTATATGTCTATATATACATGCACACACAGTCATATATAATACAAAGCCTGTGACTTCATCGTTTCCTCCATTTGTTATGTGGTAATTATGTGTCATGCCAACAGCAGGCCACTAAAAATATGCTTAGCATTAAAGAGCTGCATTCAGCTGTGCTAAGCATCAAACAACTCTATAGGTTTGGTACACATTCACACATAGGCAGAGTTGCAGAAACATGCACCGTGATTTGACGAAAGAATGGCATCATTTCTAGGTATTCTCCTTTCTCTTTTTTTTTTTTTTAAATGGTTCCCGCTTCCTCATACAAAGTCCTCAGCATTATTACAGAGATTGCAGGAACTCTCTGCACTGAACACTGGGATCAGAGAATATTTCCAGTCTTCCTGTGACACTCCTAACTACTGAATTTGTAGAAGCAGCAGTGACATCCACCCAAAAGAGCTGCAACAGTTGCCGATCTAAAGATACACTTTCTCCCTCAAAAGACAGATGGCAGAAAATGCAGATGCTCTTCTAGAAGACAGAAGAGAGCAATTACTGGGTAGGTTCTGCTCAGCACTGACCTAATGCTTTAAGGCGACCTACAAGCATAATTGCTCCTGCATGTTCCTTCTCACCGCCTTTTACGATGAACACGTAGTGCAGGAGGTATCTACAAAACTGACGACAGCTCTCCATTTCTGCAGAACAGGAAAGTCATTTTCCCTGCATGTTCAAATCTGCACACACCGCGGCTGAACATGAGACAGGTTCGATGGCTATTAGATCATTCAGTTAGGCTATTAGGTTGTTAAAATATGGCAAGAAACTCATAATGCAGCTTATGCTGCAAATATAAACTCCTTTCAGGCAAACCTGCTAATCTGCATCCTGAAGACATTTTGTAATATGCTCTGTAGTATGTAAATTTCTACCCCAAAATACCCTAAGAAATACTCTGCTCCCACATGAATACTCACAGCAGTTCTCTATCTGGGCAGAATACCTTGCACACTGTGCTGAACTCACTAGTACAGACTCACAGTAATGTCTGGAAATTCAAACAGCAGTAGCATTTATCTGTCCTACGGGAACAAGACAAAAGGTAACGATACACTGGAACACTGTCTAAAGGACTTGACTCTTGAAACTTCCAGTGAATTACGTTCATTTAAAGTCAATGTCAAATTAAAAGACAGAGGTAAATAAATTATACTTCTGCCTGGTAGCCTCCTAGAAGGCAGTCAGGATTTCCAAGCAACAATTCTTTTGCCGTATTCAAGAACTCATTTTTATTCCTGCTTGTGCCACAGGGCTCCTTTATAATGCTATGAAACTACTCACATTTGGCCACTAATGAAACTCTGAGTTTAATGCCCAGTGAGGCTAGAAGTGCTGAACTATAGTTGAGGTCAGCTACAAAGGTGCTTGGAGTACACCATAGGCTGTTGCAATGCAGAGTGTTTTGATAAAAGTAAAAATAAATCAGGCCCAAGGTTTAAAATTAGCCATTTGATAACAGTGGGCATATCTGATTCTGTAAGTCTCATCAGCAATAAATATCTCTGCACCTCACCTCTCTATGTGTAAAGTTAGGATAACGCCACATTTTTATCATTGTGATGTTAAATTCAGTATTATTTGTGAAGCACCCAAATGTTACAGTTGAAAGCATGACAGATAAGCAAGCATGTGAGACAAACTGATAATTTTTTATTCAATGCAAGGTTTCAATGGTATGAATTTAATAAGACTTGGCACCACACAGTGAATAAAGAAGATAAAAAGAAACGTTGAATAGCTCCATGAAGAAGAGATCCTGTATGTGACCAGATAATTACAGCTACACTTTAATACTTATGCACAAGAGGAATAAATTTAAGTGACAGTGAAAACCTAACTTCTGACATTCCTCTTCTTTTTAACATTGACTTTGTAAGCCTTTTAAAACAGACAAAATGTGTGTGTATGTACGTGTGTTTTTTAAAATTGCAACACAGTAGCAGAGAACTATTTCTGAAATTTTAAACTCAAATTTGAGAAAAAGAGAAAGTAAAACCAAAACAATCTCAGAAAGAAGGGAGAAATTGGTGTTAATTTGCTGGGAGTCAGGATGCCAGAAACTCAGTAATCAAGGACGTTCCTTGGCATTCACTCTTTGAATTGCAGAAAGTCAACACAAAGAACCTTACGACTCTCATGGCACTTCTGTCCTTTTGTATGATAGCTACGCTATCTAACCATTTTATATTAATAGTGTGGACTTTAGTCTCTGGATAGAGTGGCTTTTTTCCTAGAGACTATGGTTAATTAATTGGTTTTGTTCTGGTTGCTGGAAAGTTTCTAATTAGCTGTTCCAGAGAGCTTTTTTTTGTGTATTTCTTCCCTTGGGCAATTCCAAAATGTCTCTACAGAGGCCTGGATGCTTGTCAGGTGGCATAGGGTCACTGCTTTGAGGGATCCTCCCAATAAGCTGATATCCATAGCATCCCTAACAATTTACCTTTACCTTACCATGTTTTCTTCACTCATTACTTGTTAAGTAGGGGCACCAAGAGACTCTTTTAGATAGACAGATAGATACACCCTCCCCCCCACCCCCCATATATATATACACACATAAATACCTATATATATTTCATTATAATATAATGACATCGGTTACATTGCGTAAAACTGAATTCTGTTTATATTGGGGCTTTCTTTTGCAGTATATGCTAAAGCAAGGGCAAGCCTATGAAACCGTATTTCTGATAGCTGTCACACGCAAGAAAGGACTTGAAGTAGCACCACACGGATGCGATCCAGGTTTACAATCACTGGCTGCTAACATCCAAAGTTCCTAAACTACTGACCCATCTGCTTGGGTAGATGTCTGCTTGGGCAAAAGGGTTTGCTACAAACATTAGTCAGCCTGTCCTGGAGTTACGTAGCTGAAACAGACAGCATTTTTAGAAAGGCAACCTGCATGTTGACATCATCAATGGCAAATTGCAGTGACACATTTTCTAAATAATCTTCTGAGAAACACAAATTTGTGGGCTTCTCTATTTATTCTAATCTGCTCCCCGACCACTGAAATCTGTCAGAAAAAGGGTGGTGCATAAGTCCCCGTAAATATGGCTAAGTTGTGCAAAACCAACAGTAATCCTTATAATACACAATCTATCACCACACTTATCTCCTGTTGTATAATCCGCTGTATGCATTAACCTCTTAGCAATATTACATGTAGAAGAAAAACCCTGAGTATTGTGAATACCCCTTTAGCAGAATTCATCCTATATAATACAACTGTTTCCGTGACATCCAATGCAGTACTATTTCTCCCATGCTTCCACCCGTGGCTCTCCTTCCTCTGGGGAAGATGCCCCAAGAGCAAAGCACTCTTTTCTGATGTGCACTGCCCTAGGAACTCTTTCTCTGCTTCTACCGTTACAAATCCTTTCCTTCAAGCCTCAGGAAGGGAAACATAGCATTTTGAAAGCCAAATACTATATCAGAAATTCTACCCAGTAGTTTGATCCCTCAAATAGAAATGTTGTCAAGTACTGCCAAAAAGATTCTGGTCTTCTGTAATGAGAGGATATCCACCAACTGTGGGTAAGGCTTATTCTAGAAAATCAGATGCTACATAGTGGGTCAGGCATCAGCACCACATGCTTCTGACTTCACTACAAGTGCCCTATAGGAAAGCTATTTTTGCATTTTAGGGTCACCAAATAATAGGGTATTGTCAGAGGTCCCTATGCCTTGAAGTGGAAAGTGCTTTTTCATACAGCAATTTCACATTGATATTTAACTTTGATTATTTTTTGACATGCACAGTAATGAGTCCAGAGATCAATTATCCTTTAGATTATGGTGTTAAGCATATTCATTTTTATAATATCCTTCTAGTCAGACAGCTAGCTTGCTTTGAGCTGAACACTGAAGACTTTGAACCTGCCTGACTTGAAAGAGAAAATAAAAAGACCATTTCATTACCACATATATATGCCTGTATAATGTTTGAAGTCAAGACTGGAGCTTTTCAGGGTAGTAAAAAAATGCAGGGATAAATAGGCAAAATTAAAGTACTATTAAGGTAATAATAACAGAAGCCTTACCGTCCAGGTGACTTGAACTGTCGTGGGTGTCAGCACAACAGGATTATGCAGTCGTACAATGACGTCTCCCAGTTCTTTCTGGACTTGCCTGTGATCCACACCTTGTGCTGGTGGGCTGATATCTGCCAGGCCAGGTACACGCATGACAGCGTTATTTTAATGAGAAGAGTTACATATGGCATCAATAAGAATTACGGAATAGCTTAAAGACCTGATTTAAACACCCTTTATAGTACTGTTTTTAAAACAATATAGTACTAAGGTTTAAATATAAACTCCAAAGCATATCAAGTAATGGAAACAAACCATTCACCTTTAGATGCTTAGGAAATAATGAAATATAAAGATGTTTAAATGAGTATTCAGACTTAGAATCATAGAATCGTTAAGGTCGGAAAAGACCTTTAAGATCATCGAGTCCAACCATTAACCTAGCACTGCCAACTTGATGGCAAAGTTTTCTCAGATCTGGTGATGAGAGAGACGCAATATTCACTAGTTCCAAGATAATAATAATGTTGCCCAGATGTCTGGAACCAAACTGGTTACTATAATTGAAGAAAACGAACAGGGTTTTTTTTATCTTCTTAGAGCATACATGACATTAAGTCATTACATGTTTCCAAACTTTCACTAAGCCTCTGCTCCCCACATACCATGCACACAAGAACCAAACACTAAAAATAGCATTTCCTTCTGCAAAGCAAATTTTCACTTTACAGATCTAGATAATGAAATCTAGTGCAAATATGAAAAAAGAATTAATTTATGAAGCCAAACTGATTCTAATCTAATAAAAGGCCAACAAAAGCACTCTACCACAAAAATTTTCTCTTAAAGATTATGTCAAAGACTCCTTCAAGTGCATGGGGAAATTGTTTATTCTAGTCAAACTCTGAAGGAATTTGATCACTTAGTATGCATCTATGGAAAACTGTGACTCCATCTCCAACATCACATGTGACCCTAGTACCTAGTCCTTAGGGACCACATTTGGGTTATGCCATTGTGTTAAACTGAATAAAGCTGTATTACCTTTGCTAAATAGGAACTGCAAATACAAAAAATGTGTCAGAAAATGGAGGAGGTGTGCAATGTGTCTTTTTAGTGATAGTCCCTGGAAATAATTTTCTGTTACATTGTGCCAAAAGGAGAATGTTAGGCTATACCTGTCACCTAGCTAATAATCACCATAGCATGTCCCTTCCCTCCAACTTAGACAGAAACGAAGGTACTTCCTAGGAGCCAGTGAAGTCTGCATCCCTTCAATGTATCCTTCAAGGATCTTACAACACCATTCCTGGTCAACAGTTACAGATGTCCTTCTATGTCAATTGTCTATGTGGATTGCATAATGCCTGTTAGAAATACACATACTGATTATTTCTGCTGGAATTTGCTGTAATTTTTCCAGAAGAGGGGATCTGGAACACAAGCACAGATTATATTCAAAAAGGCCTGATACATTATGGCCATGCCCATCTAGGCATCTGTGAATTCTGCTTGGTTTTACCAGGGGATTCACTAGCCAAATACACTTTCCCTCTTTTTGGATCAACATCATGTCCTTGTGAAGAGAATACATACATAAAAGGTCTTTTTCCCCCCTCTGATGGTCTTAGATATGGGATTATGCAGCGTGTGATTTCTTTTTATCTTCTAAATATTATTAAGAAGAATTAATAGCGTTCTTAAAATTGAAACATTTAAATATAACAACTGAGTTTGAATCATGTGCCTCCAGATTTCGAAAGGAAGTAGTTTTTGTTCATCAATATTTCAGCTTCATAATTCTGGATTGTTATAGGTTCTGAGCCACCAATAAACAATACTGCCACACGCTTCTACTGCTATTCAAATGAAAATGGCTCCATGGATCTCCAAAGGGAACATAATGCAAATATGGATGTCAGTGAAGGAGCTTGTCTAGCAAATTATGCCTATTTAAAGTGACCATGAAACAGAGAGATATAATAAAATAAATCTGTAAGACAGCAACTCAGACTGGTTTACAGGATGATAATTTATGCTGCTTTCCACAAAACACAACGATCCTTGGTACAAAATACCTGCAGCTACCCACGGCTACATTTTACATTAAGTCATCCTGTGGTATACAACCAACAAAGTACCTATATCCCCTCAGGAGAAAAGACATTTCTACATAGTGTGTTTGTATGAACTGCATTTCATCATTTTAATGGGACATACGTCCAGAAGTACAGCAATAACACGGGCTAATAACAGTAAGAAATGCGTATCAAGATGTACGTGTGGAATTCTGTTTTCTGATACACTTGGAAACATATGCATATGCGATGCTTACAGTGTAATGTCTTGTAAGGTCATTTTCACATTACTAGGAGGCTCCTGGTGGAAAAGCAGGTGATCTACCTATCAGGATATTGTGAAGTACTGGAATAATAAAATCATGACTCAAGCAAAACTGGCTCAAGAAGCTATATTCTGATCAGTTAAGAGTCTCTAAAATTAAATTGGTTATATGTTTTCTCTAATGTCTCTTTTAACAGCTTCCACTGAACTTATTACTAGTTGCTAGTAATTTAAATTCCAGGGATGAGATTATATATGGTTTCTTTAAAGTGTTTTTTAATATATGATTTGGTCTGTTAATAATCAACTCTTAATTACTGATTTCTCTGTCCTTATTTGGTATAAGTCATATAAGGTAAACTTTTTGAAAGTGCCTGACTGTCTACTTGCAGTCCAGTGGTGAAAATATGCGTAAGATCCTATTACTTGTATTTGCTATACTTACTACCAGAAAATTAAATGCTTAGCTATTAAAGCTACCACAGACACTTGTTGCAAATTAATATTATATAGCACTGTTATAGCTGCTTTTTTCTTCCTCGATGGCCACTGTGAATAGGCTTTCTACTGTGTGCCAGCTTCTTCTGTGAGCCTGAATTGAATTCAAGCATAATTAGAAATCACATCAAAACATTATGTTAATTTTCAATTGATTTTATGATTTAATTCTATTAAACTGCAGGCTTGCAAAGAAGCTATAAATCCTGTACATGTCTCAGTGTGCTTGACTGCTAAACAGCTTCTGGAAATGGAAGCTGCAACACATGCTGCAGCTAATTAAAAGACATGTTTTTACTGAAATCAAATTGCTTGTCAGTATGTCAGATAAAAAGTCTATACCTGACACTCAAATGCCAAACAAAGTTGTTTTTTTAACTAGGTGATAAGTTATGCAGACTAAAAGGCTGGTGCAATGAAAAGCATGAGTCACCCTATAATAACGGGAGAGCAAGAAAGAGAAGAAAACTTGTGATACTCCGTGGATAGTCAAACTACAAAATCCCCGCCCAACTCACTCCTACAGCTTTTCAGAAAGCAGCTCTGTTTCTCCTTTTACAGCAATGATTACTATTTTGAGCAGGTAATTATTAAGGATAGATTTACTCAGGAATAGACTGGGATTATAGAGGCTGGATGTGATGGTTATGCAATAAAGAAACACCACCCTACTCTTGTTCCTCTCTTTCCATCTAGGACCAGCAAAGGACCCAAACCACTTACACATGCTGGAGGCTGACACAGGATGCACTCTCCATGCACACTTTTATAACTTCCAGAAACAGAGACAGAGGATCTCATTCTAAATTAACTGTGAAAGGAGCTATTACTTTGGACTTGAAAAAATTATGATTCCAAAAAATTATTAATTCCTGTATTCCAACCTGCTTAACACAGAACTACACTCTTTAAAGACGTATTCAAGCAATACGTTGACAAAGCCAAAAAAATACATGCTGTGAAGAGAAATTTGTTTGTGGCACTTATATGCAGTAAGAGCTTGATGTAATGTGAGCAGAATTCAATAGTCAATTCAACAGCAATGGAGGATCAGAGCTATCAATTATATCACCACTCTATAAATGAGGAATTTCACTTCAGCCTTCCGTCTTGGTTTATGCAGTGGATTATTACAAGGAATTCAGAAATCTAGGTATATGAATAGAAGACCGATACTTTTCTCAGAATAACTTCAAAATATTCTCAGCATGCAGAAGCCTTAATTTACATGAATCTCTGCGATATGTTGGATCAGATTAATCAATACACTACAGATATTTTATGCAATTCTTTTGATTAAAACTAATGCTAAACACGGTGTCTGTCTGTCATAAGCACTTGTTATTATAGTATATCCCTATTATAATAATGGAGAAGAAGTAAAGACACAGAGAGAAAAGATACTGAGGAGAGCATGGTATTCAGAGCACTTTTCAGAAAAGCTTAGGTAACTCACATTATTTTCAACAGAAACAAGGCATCAAGGAGCACACCAAGTCTAAGTGAACTGCAAACCAAAATGTCTACTGTATACCAAGGATTAAAGAGCTAACCTGAGCTCCAGATTGATACAGCAAACATTGGACTATTTTTTATCTTTATTGGTTAAGCTCGATTCATGATTCCTTCACTCAGAGTGCTAAAGCCAAATGGTCAGACTGACCTATTGGTCAACTCTCAGTCCCTTCTTTCTATTTTATCTCAAGCATGTAAGCCTTAATAATTACTATTACCTTGTGTTCGGACAGGATCTGACATAGGGCTGGGATCACTCAGACCTTGTGAATTGATAGCTCTCACCATAAACAGGTAGATTGTATTGGGACGCAGTCCTCTCACAGTGTAGAGAGTGGTCTTCACATGGTTAGCCACTGTTTGCCAACTATTGCTCACAGATTGACTGCAATGAGAAGAGGATTGAAGATGACAGACTAATGCAAGAGAAAAATAAAAAAGTGAAAGGACCTACTTTTGTAACCCTATATCAAGTCTAAATACAGGAAAAAGTAGTAAAAGCAGGGTAAAAATAAAAATATTTGTTTCAGTTAACTCATCAAGATGTGATTAAAAAAATAACACAGCTGCCAAAAGTATTTCTCCTTTCAATAGAAACATAAGCTTTTGCGCTCTCTCTAAAATAAACAGTTGTAAAAGGAAAGTGTGGAAAGCTGTACAGTAAATTTCAATCATAAATAGGCTACACTTGAACATAAACCTTAGAAAAGAAAATCCTGTTAAAAGAATAATTTTCTACACTGCTAAGTAAATTATGCCAATAAATTGTCATTGAAAGAAAACTATTCTCCTTGAACTAAATTTATAGTCTAAAGTATAATTAATAAGTTGTAAGTATAACTAAAAAGTATAAATAATAAGTTGTAACTACAGTTACAAAAAAAAGGTCTGAAAACACGCTTGTAAATGAAGGAAAGCATATGAATATTTTTTTCTGTCACTACATTTTCCATTGGACATTATTATAATTAGATTACAATCCACTATATGAAGAGATTTCAAGTGTGATTGTTAAAACAACTTTTAATGAAAATGTTTGGCTTTTGTTAAAGTTATTGATGGGATGCCATTAAAGCTTATCTAGGGTGAAATATCACAAAAGTTTAAAGAGAAAATTTTATTTTATTGTGAGCTTTGTTGTATAGCATTGAGTAAAAAATTCTTTAAATATATTAAAAGGAAAAAGAAAATGGAAAGCAATGAGTTTCAGGTTGTTTCAATTGTTTCATTCATGTAATGCATAAAGTTCCAGAACAAAACCAACAGCCTGCACATACAGTAATGTTCTTTGCATATTAACATAGCAGGATGAAGCATTATCACTATAACTTCTTAAATTAGCATGCCTATGATTTTGATAAATTCTTGCATGAATTTTAATTAAAAGACTAACTAAATTATTTGTCATTTGTTGCACATCTTGATTAAGGAAAACATTTAAGAATGTGCACATTTTTAAGTGGAAGCGTAGAATACTGATACATGTGAGAGGTATGGCCCATGCTTAAACAGACTTGTTGAACTGGGGCCCAGGAGTTCTTTCCTACCACGTATTAAGTGCTGCTGTGTGGAAGGGAGCAGCTGGATTCTCTTCAGCCTCAGGCTGCAGGATGAAATCCTAAATTATCAACACTAGCCTTGTCAGGTAGAAGTTTTAGTCTATCTAAACCAGTAAAAAATAGAAATGTAAAGTGCTTTAAGTCATTAATAGGTGCTGCTTTAACAAGAACAGGAATTAAAGTACGCAGAGAGACTTCAGGATTATCCATTTATTTTCAGATTATTTGTACTCTGATAGTCAAGATAACACTGGCCCAAATCATTTGACCTGCAGCATTCCCACAGGAGATTCTGACTGATCATCAATGCTAAGGGAAAAGTAACAAATAATGACTGCATTGTCCTGTTATATTCCTGTTGACCTGAAGAAACAGTTAGATGCTCCTTTAGTTAATCAGTTAGAAAAAAGTGATAAAATGGAAAAAAAAAAAAATCAATGTAAAAAACAGGAATCAACGCCTGCCATAGGAGTTGAGTCTTTCAATGAACTTCTAATGATATGTGTAGAGTCCAAAAGAACACCACAATACCAGAAGAACAGCTGGTACCAGGGTTTAAGCAAAATTAGAAAGGAAGATTAAAAGTGGAATAATTCACATACCTAAAAGCCTCAATGATATATGCACTAGCTGGTAGGCTTCCAGGGGTCCCTGGTTGCCAGGACAGGGTGACACTGTTCTTAGTAACATCAGTGACCTGAGGTTTGGATGGTGGCCCAGGGAGGTCATTTATATCATAATTTTTACTGACTGTTGCTCCACCAGATTCTGTAAGGGGCAAATACAATATAATTACTTTTTATCCTTGATTGTGTAAATTTGATCAAAGTAGAAGATTAAAAGGAAAAACACGCCAAACATCTGCAAAATCATTACCATGTGTATTTTTGGATGAAGAGCTATCATTCTTTAGGTACATACTGAAGGAAAAAACCTGCAAAACTCAAAAGGTTATATATAAAAAAAGAAAAGAAAGAATAACAAAAAAGCCTGGCTTTGCTGAAATTTACATACAATATTAAAACCTCAGTTACTAGAAGGCTCAGAAAGTTCCTATATCCAGATCAACTCCAGTACTAACACAGAGCACATTGGACTTTGATAGGACTCTGTGTAGGCATAATAGTTTCCTTGCCCAAGCCAATTACTGGACGAATCCACAGTTTATTAATACTCCTGTTTAGAAGAGTTATAGCATACTGCTGTCAGTGGAGACAAATACAAATTGTTGCAATGTCAATGGGCACTTAAAGATAATAGCAATGAAATGCAAGGCATGTGAAGGAACCCAGCCTTCCCACCTAAAACTTCTCCATCTCAATTCCAGAACTTCTAGAACGGATTATTTGACTCAGACTGCTCTAATATAGTCTACACTTTCATTTTGTGCCAACTGAAAAACAGCCCCTGGACATCACTTACCTGTCACCTCCAGCACAGCACTCCAAGATGTCTCCCCACTGGAACTTGTAGCAACGCAAGTGTAAGTCCCAGTATCGGACAGCTAGACATAAAAAACAGTTAAGGGGAGTTTTAACAACCTTTTAGAATCAGCTGACAGACTTTACTCTAATTTTCTTTTTCTAAATGTTTCTTGGTAAGAAGGACTTAGCCTACATTTTACACCAGGCTAGAGGGCACTGGACATTTTCAAGCAATCATTTAATGGTGGCTTACTTTTAGAGAACTATAATAAGATTACTTGCTTCTAATACTTTTCTAATTCTAATTTTCATATTGTTAATGGTACCAGTACAGCATGTAAGTGCTACAAGAATGGATGTTTTAGACAGTGTAAATCTTTGCATTGGTTACAACAAATGCAGGTGAAATCAGATAACAATATAACAACAATTAACAACTCAGAGGATAAAATCTCAGGGTTTGTTATCCCATGATGCAGAGATACAGTTTCCAGTGCCAGGAAGGCTGTTACATCATCTTAGACTCTTACGACAGATGAAGTCATTTCTATACAGGCCACCACACATGCGAATACCATTGCTGAGACTTAAGAGTGGTTCTCTCTGCACAGAGAGTCCTCCAAGCCATTTTCAAATGGCAAAGTTAAATCAGATCCTACACCACGCTTACCCTTCTTCTGTTTCACATGGGATTTTATTTCGGGCTTGCAAGGCACTTTGGTAGCAAAAAAACTGCATTTGTATAAAACTGTTGTGATTTCCTTGTCAGTTCATATATTTCAAATTTATTTGGGGAAACCATTTTGAATTATATTTTCAATATTAATCTCATTGCTGTATAAACTGTTCTACTGGAAAACCAAGTGTTGCTAACTGTTTTGCTATTCCTACTTAAAATTTAAAGTAGAGATTTCTGAGACAGGAACTAGTGAGGATTACAGAGATGGGTGAAAAACAGTAACTTTACAAAGCACAAAATATACAGAGGAGCCCTCCTACCACTATGTATAAAGCATGGTAATCTGGAGATGGGAGAAGAGGGAGAGTGCTGACTCTAGTGATATAAGAGAAGAATTATATTCACCGTCAGATGACTTGACGGAAATAGGACTGCATCCAAGAAGCTTTATTGGACTTTAAGGAATTGTAATGGGTTCTGCTAACTGCAGATTGGCACTATAACAGAAGTGCTTATACCTCACTCTTCAAGAAGAATGTCAAGGCAAATAAGTGAGATGCTCTTTAGATTACTTGTTGATATGTAATTTAATTGATTTTTAACTTTGTTGTGTTTGAATTTTGTTGGTATTTTCTTCAGATACACTTGGACTGCAGCGTACTATTCTTAGGGGCAGGAAGCAACTGATTAATGCCAGTTCAATAGTCTGAATGAGCATGACTTGCATTTAGGAGGTGCTTTTGCTGTGAAATACAAGAAATAATTAAACCCCTCTGACAACGCCTCAGAAACTCAAAATATAGAGGTACTGCTAATGAAATGAGAAAGACTCTTGAAAGGAGACAGATTTTCCAGAGTGCGCCTTATTGCATTCTGAAGTAGTGTTTTATTTTGCTTCTTCTGAGCTTTTATTAAATATATAATTCTTCATTATGTGATAATGGAGAATATTTCTCAAGGCTATGGTTCTCAACTTCATTTGTGTACTACCGTGACAGATGGTGTATGGCATACTCAATGAAGTATGTGGTATACACAACAGAATAACTTGCAGAAGGCAAACTCAACATATAAAGCAAGCTGGAGATATGCTGCCTCTTGCAAGTTATGGTGAATTATCTAACTTCCAGACTGTGGATGGATTAGATACAGACATAGTGTATTGATAATTCAATTATTTATACTTTTTTTTTTGTGCTATGGAAAAAACAACAGGGGAGGTGAACGGAAAATCCTTGCTATTCAGTAAAATAAACATTTTTCTTCCTCAGTTAATGTAGGTGTCTAAATCTGGTGTGGTACACTTCTATGGAGCAGAAGGGAGTTTTCCGCCATTGTTGACCTGTCTGAAAGGGTACTGAGTGAGTGACATATGTGAGTTTTTAGTTGTCTTCCTCAGAGCAACTGGGAAGATTGGCTCATCAGAAAAATCTCTAGCTTCATGTTTATGACTGTGGCCCATGGTTCACTGTGACTGTTGCAGACTCCTGAATAATTTGATTTACACACAGAAAGAGAGTTACATAGCAGAAGAGGATGGTCTCAAAGCTTTAAATAGTAGTGGTTCATCTTTACTCATATCTTGAAATCTTTTATGACTGCAATAGTGATTATTATATGTGAGGGGAGGAGAAGGCTGAGGACACGTGGGTGATAAATATTAATTTGTTTTGAACTTGGGTATGTAAGTGTACTTGGGCATATTTTGTGGCCATTTTTTTGTTTAGGAAGTGTTGGCAGTCCTTGCTCAGGTAGACCTGAGAGAAAAGTTAAACATTCCAGATTTAAATCCATATTTAATTAATTAAAATTGCAAGGAACAGGAAAAATCTGGTTTTTATGGTTGTGTGTCGTTTTTGTTCTTAAGTCTGAGTCAAACAGTGCACATTACTGCAATCGAGGGGTTTATAAAAAATGTCTTTCTGAGCCTTTAAGGAAAATTGGTTACTAGTGAATGAGCCACTTAAGGATCAATAAAAGCTTCATGTCTTTCAAAACCACACTCACTACTAATACTGTTTTCTTCTCCCCTTGCAAGCAATTTTTTTTCCTTTCGTTTACAGACCTTGTGCCTCTAACAGCGAGATTAATGCACTGGCACGATTCAGAACCAATTTCATTGTTTGCATAGCTGCATGCAGACAGGTATCCCAGGAGCTTCTGCCTCATGGACACTCCACAGAAGCCCATCATCAATGCCTGAAAGTTTGTTTGAAACCACTAAGCTTCCACCTTTAATTGCTGCTTTCTAACACTACTGGGGAATCTTGACTATTCAAGCGCACTCTTTAATCCAGCTCTACAGGAAAAATGCATTAACCTTCATGGCCTAAACCTGCCTTCAGCCCAGGGAGGAAGGATAAATTGTTTACTCAAGGAAAGCTAGCATAAATTTTTTAATAAATTCCATTTGGTTCCAAGGAAGTTAACAATTCATCTGCGATCACTGATGAGACAGTATCAGAAAACAAAATGGCACTTTATATCTTGCCCTCGGTAGCTATGTTTATTGACATATTTTTGGATGGCACAGCTAAATGCAGAAATTACTGTTGATGAAATTAAATGCTTTCTGAAATTATCTTTAAGTTCTTGACAAATAATTACATTTACCGTACTATTTTTCCGTGTACATGCTCATCCACATACACACAAACAACTACGCATTTTTATCTTTGAACAGGGTAAAAATTAAAAGCCCAAACAAAGATTAGTGATGCAAGGCTTATCCATAAAATCTGACATTATACTATTTGGAATATTACAAGATTTCTTTGTACTTTTAAGATACCGTATTATCTCGTGTCAAAATGTAAATATTCTGACAGGCATTTCATTTTGAATAGAAATCCCTCTGCATAAGACTGCATGTATGTTACAGTATTAGTTGTCTTCTCCCATCCGCAGCCTTATGGAACATCTCCAGCAAGCGTAACATTGGAATAAATCAGCCAGCTCAAGACTGCCAAGACTCACTGATGGAGAAAGTGCACGGCCAGTCCCTGATGAACTCCAGAATCACTTGCTAGCACAATGGCTCCTTGGAAAGTTATGATCAAGTGTTGAAAATGAACTGCTCTAAGTTTTAACAGAGACAACAGGCCAACGGCTTCATGGTAAGACCAACTGAAAAGATAAGGAAGGCCTGTCCTTTTACATGTCTATCCATCCCTAACTCATGTGTTTTATTGCAACATACATAAGATTTTAAATATCAATTCTATTTTTAGAGAATTCTAATAGAAACATCTGATGCTAGTTTGGCTCTTCTCCCCCCCGCCCCCCTTCCCC